CGTTGAGACTATGGAGCTGGACCTTCAGCTTCTGGAACTCACGGCCGTTTGTGGCGTTGGAATCCTGGCCATCGTTGCCTACCGACAGCGCGAGCTGCTTGGGCGGCAGGCCCCCGGAGCGGGGCTCGAGCTCGCCGCAGTCGTCGACAGGGATGCGCGAGTGGCCGCGCGGCGCCGACGCGAGGTTAAAGTAGATGGCGCCGGGGCCCAATGTGATCTCGTAGACGCTTGGTCCGGGAAGCGCGAGGCGCAGGGCAGGGGGGTCAGCGCCTGCGCCTTCCACGGCTGGGGCGCGCGCAGTGCTGAGTGGTCGCGCCGTCAGTGGAAGTCGTTGCGATGACCTAGCAGCTCGCAACTTGCGACCCGCTGCCGACGCCTGCCGCGCAAAGCAGAGACGACAACACCTTCTCGGGCGGCTGCAGCGTGGCCCATTGGGCCGCGCGTGCAAAGTTCACGGCGAAACTTAGTTCCCAGAGGTTGGCCCAGGCGCCGGCGTCGACGACCACGTCTAGCCAGCCACCTGGCAGGTCGGTGCTCGACTGTTAGCGCGGCGAGTCGTTCGATGGGCTCGAGCCTGTGCCCGGCAAGGTGGGCCACCGCGTGTCGGGCGGCATGCGCGTGTCCAGCTGGGCGTCGCAAAGCACAGCCGCGCCCGCTGCGGACGAGAAGCTGGGAACGCTGCCCGGCGAACGCACGAGGTCTGGCCGAGGCGCCCCAGGGACAGGGGCCTGCCAGAACAACATCGCAAGGTCCTGCTGTGGTGCGATCTCGACTGGCGCGCCCCTGTCCGACGCTGCGCGGGCCGGCGGCGCGGTTACCAGAAACGCGGGCGCGCTGTCTCCTGCCGCGCGGGCCGGCGCCGCAGGCGCCGGAAGCGTCGGCGCGCGTTCTGCCGCTCATGATGCGACGCGGAACTCGGCGATGACGTCGGCTTGTCCGCGACGCGCCGGGCAGTGCAACAAACGGGTGTCTGTGCTCTGCAAGTGTTGCGGGTGGCATGCTCGGTTTAAGATGCGGCGGGACAGCAGGCGCGCCGCCCGCTCGCCGCGCGGGGAGGCCTCGAGGCAGACGGGTCATTCCCTGTCGTCGCCGCTGAACGTTGTCACTGAGGGGGGCGGAGCAGTCGGCGCAGCGGCCGGCACAAATGGATGAATAACAAAGTGTCTCCGCACGGCCTGGCGTCGCTGCTCATCGTGCTGCCGTGCGAGCTCGAGCGCCAGCTGTGCGCTGTGGAGCACGTCGAGGTGCGGTCGTTGCGCGCGGTCGAGGGTGGCGCGCGCGTTGTGCTCGGATCGACCGCCGCCGTATAACCGAGCATCTCTGCCGGCGAACCGCGCGGCCGCTCCCCCGAACCGCTGGCTAACGTCGGAGGAGCTGTTCCGTTTGTCCAGAGCCAAGTCCTGGGAAGACTGCGGCGACACCACTGGGGGGATACAATAACGCCCCTACCCTGGGTCACAAGTGCGCGCTCCGCAAACCTCCCAAAGGCCAGAGAGCCACCAGGACGCCGCGCGACGCGCGCGATATGCAGGGTTTAGCCTGTCAGCCAACAAGATGTTCACCGCCTCGTAGACCAGGGCAAGTGCGTTTTAAGCCTTTGAGTAACGGCCCGCGCGGACTGCGGTAGTCAAAAGGAGGTCGGTGCACATTGCGCGCTGATGCCGAGGGCTGCGATTCAAGGCGCGGAAGCTCAGCTCGGCAACTGCACGTCGGCAGACTGGGTTGGCGGCGCGGCGACTCGGAGGTCTCCTATACAGTCGCGCCCCTGGAGTTGTCCCGAGAGTGATGCACCGTCCGCTTGTGTCCACTTCTGGGGTGTTGCAGGGTGGTAGTGCCGCTGAGACTGCTGGAGCTGCCGGACCTGCTGGCGCCCCCGATGCTGGCGCGGCTGGCGGCGCTTCCACCGCCGCTGCTTGACGGCCCGGCGACGCAGTCACTGGAACCGCCCGTGCTGCAGAGGCTTGCGCACGCCCCGCGAGGTCGGCCACCTCCGGGCGCAGTCGTCGCAGCTCGGCTTCGCGCGGCGAGGGCGAGTGCGATGGCGATGTCCTCATCTAAATTGACCAGCGGTTGCGGCCAATAGGTTGCCGACAGCCGCCCGACGAAGAACTCGGACTTGCCGCTGGCGCGGACGGCCGCGGCTCTGGCGCTGCCGGAGTCGACCGTCCGCCGTTCCAAGGGTCAACGCTTTGCATATGGGTCGCCGTTCTCGGCGCCCCTGGCCACGGGCCGAGGAATCCAGGAGATGCCCCTGGCCCCCAATAATGGTGGCGCCGGGGCGCAGGCCTCGTGGAAGAGAGCGCGCCCTTGCTGGCGGCGCCAGGGGCAGTCGCGCACGAGGCGCTCCTCGGAGTCGCACTCGCGGCGTTTTAATCGCGCCCCGAGGGGGCCTAGGGGTCGCCTTGACGGCCCGAACCCACGTCGGCGGCCCTGAACACCTCTTGCCCCTAACCCACGCCCTTCCCCAGGCCCGCGAAGGTCTCTCGGAGGCCGTTCTCGGGCAAGACGGCCAGGGCAGCGCGGTGGCTTTCGCCAATGCCCGCGTCCTTCCGTTCGTTGACCGTGCAAACGTGGCGCGCGGGCTTGCGTTCGTTGACGCTGCGCCGGCGTGCTTTGGCGCGCTCGCGAGCCCGGAAGAGATGCGCGCCACGCAGTTCGACGGGAATGTTGCGTGGCTCGGAGTCGTCGGCGGATATCTCCGCGCCGAATGAGCTGGCGGCGTCTGCGTCGGCGCCTGAGTGGGTGTCTGCTGCTGGGCGCGCCCCCCGCGCCAGTGGTGCCGCGCTAGATGCGCAGTCTCCAGTCCCGCCCTCAGCTGGTGCCGGTGGACTCGGGGCCGATCCCAGCGCAGCAGGGCCCATGCCGCCCCAGCCCTGCTCCTGCGTGGGCGCGCATTAGAAGACCTTGTGGCGTGGGGAAAAGTGGGCCGCGGAGGCAAAGTGGCCTGGCGATCCTTCCATCATGTGCCCAAATGGTTTCAGCCAACCAGTCATATGAGTGAGCTGTTGAGCGTTCGTGGGCTAGGCCGCGCTGTAGTGCTGCGCGATCATGGTGAGTTGCATGTTCGACGCGCCAGCGGCGAGCAACAGGGGAAAGCTGAGATCCTAGTAGCCGATCAGGGGGTGCCGATGCTGCCGAAGCGCGCTCCTCCTCGCCCAGCTGGCTCTGTCTTTCGGTCAAGATGCGCATTGGGAAGTTCATCGGAGGCGCTTGCCGTTGACGAGGCTTCCCTGGATCAGGACAGTCAGCGGCCTTCTGTTCGCGCACTCGCGCGCCGCGCCGGTATGGCGCGACGAAACGTAGGCCGCCTGGAAAAACTCATTGGGATCGGAGTTCGCCACTGACCAGATCATCACCTCGCGCGCCCATCTCTGGAAAGGCGCGCGAGCCTGCTGCAAGGGCTCCCAGATGCGGGGATGGCGCGCGCTGCCCCCGCTGCCACCACCAGCGCCCATGCAGGCAATGCAGCTTGTGATGGCACGCATGCCGCCTCCTATGGCCTTCCAATCCGAGTGTAGCGCCCTCCGCGTGTCGTAGAGGTGCTGGAGGCTGCGGGCCCTCGAGCGTCGTTGCACGAGTCGCCGAAGATACTTGCCCTGGATGCGTTCATCCTCGTCAGATCATTGGGCGCCTGCTTCTGTCGCGCCACTGCGGCGCTCGCGGTGCTCGGAGAATCCTGCGACGCAGGCGCGGAAATGCTCTTCGCGCGTCGCGTGGTCGCTGTGCTGAGCGCCGCCAATTGCGCGATCGTTCAGAAGGGTGCGCATCGAGATCCCGCCCTGCCCGGCTGGCGGGTCTGAGTTGGTAAAGTGAATGAAGGGTCGACCCCCGAGGGGCGGTGCCTCGGAAAGATGGCGCCCCTATCGTTCTGCCCTCCACTGCCTCACCTCGGGGGGCGGGGAACGCAGTCCACACGGTCCCTAATGCGTCCCCGCCCGGCGGCGACAGAGTCGCCTGATGTCTCATCTCTGCTTGCTTCTCTCAGGGCTATCGCGACGCAGCCCCGACAAGCTCGGGGCCTTGTTCAGACGCCGCAAGTGAACACGCTGAGCCGAGCAGCTGTCTAACACCTGAGGCTGCCCCCCACGGACGGGGGCGCTGACAGTTGGGGTTCCGCGAGCTGCCCCGACACAGTCCGGCCATGCCCGGGATGGGTCGCAGAGCGGTCCTGGTAGATCTTGGTGATGTTGTCCTTGATGGAGTACTGGTTGCGCATGTTCTCGGTCACTGATCTTGGCAGGGTGGATGCTCCGAGGGACCCTCGAGGAACGTCTCCTCCGATAGTGAGCGGGAACATGGGCACGAAGGAGGAGGTGTTCAAGGCGGTGCGCACGTTCCCGGACGCGGTTTGTTGGCGGACGAACTGGCACAGCCCCGACGGGCCAGAGAGAAGGGGAAGAAAAACACGAAGGCGTAGATGTTGAATGCGGTTGACCGAAACCGAAAGCGGCGGAGGGTGGAAACCAGGGCTGTCGACGCGAGGCGATACATGGCAGTCGTAGTGAGAGCAAAGGTTAACCTGCTCCGCTACCAAATAGAAAAGAGGATGTAAAACAGGAAACGATTATTCCTGAAAGGTAGTGCAACGCATCATGGTCCAAGGCGGAATGTACACGGCGCGTCTAAAACTGGCATGGTGCACTGATCAGGCCTTAAGCCAAGATGACGCAGCGGGCCAGCAAAGATGAGAAACGGGGCGCGCTGGACAAAGGAACTGCCGTCTGGGTAGAAGGAAGAGTTGTTGATGATGATGATGATGATGATCATGATGATGATGATGATGATGATGATGATGGTGATGATGATGATGGTGATGATAATGATGATTAAGATGATGGTGATGATGATGATGATGATGATGATGATGATGATGATGCTGATGATGATGATGATGATGATGATGATGATGATGATGAAGAGGAGGAGGAGGAGGAGGAGGGGGAGGAGGAGGAGGAGGAGGAGGAGGGGGGAGAGGTGGTTTCCCATGGAAGGCACGCGGCCTTGAAGCCGACGAGGCAGTGGCCGGGAACTGCGCTTGCGCCAGCAGCTGCGGCTGCAGCTGCGGCGGGGGCGCCTTATGAGGACCCCCCGGGCGGGAGACGAAAAGGAGGTCACGGGAGGGGGGAATACAGGGTGGTAGAGGTGCTCGCAACATCAAATAACTATTTTTCGAGTAGGTGATCGACTGCAGTATTGATGTACCCCAAGGTTGATCGTTTCGTCGAAGATGTGGAACATGCGTAGAATATTCCGTGGACTTTTTTAGCATTGCATGCATTGTTTCGCTGATTCGACGGTCCAGTCAATTTCGGGGTGAATCAATTCTGTAACCTGTCCCCTACTCGAACCACGACGATGCCGATGCCGACGCCGACGGAGACGAGGCGCGCGAGCGACTCGCACCGAAGCGCGGCTCTGGGGGGAGACGGCCGTCCGTGCGACGTTCGGTACTCAACACATCGTTGAGCGGCAGTGCCTTGGGAGGCAAACGAGGTCTGAACGAACGAGGACTCGAAGCCAGATCAAAAGGCCACCAAGCCTGGATCAGCCCAGACTGCCACTGGGATTAAGCCTGATTGCCCGGGAATGCGGAGTTACTCTGGACTCAACTTGATCACGCAGGGTTCAATATATGTTCGACCGCGGGAATCAAATACGAGCGCCGATGCGGAATGCGACCTGCCAGGAACTGCATCCTACGATGTGGAAGGGGGCCGATTTGCCGCGCCCTCGCTGGCCGACGGGTCCCGCGCGGGTCCGGGTAGGCTGCGAAGGTGCGCGCGGGAAAGTGTCGAGGGGGGGCTTGCCGGGTGCTGGGGCGGGGTGGGGATCGCGGAGGTGACGGGGAAGAGGGGAGCAGGACGACGCCAAGTACACACCTGTATGAATTGGAATCCAGGGCCAGGAGGCTGGTGGAACTCCAATCGAAGCCTGGCCATGGAGATCACCGCCGCCCTCATCGGACCAGGAAACCTCCAAGGTCTGCCGCGTCCTGGGCGCATTTCTTAACCAACGCCCCCACCGTACGCCCTCCTTGAAGGGGCCTTGGGACGCACAAAGAAGTACACACACACAAATAACAGCATCCCCAATCTTTTCCCATACTTTCTTGCTTTTTGTCTTCCCCTCCACTTCCCACACTTTCCCATAATTCCGGGGGAATCGACGACTCCTTGTGTCTGTGTGTGTCTGTGCTTCCTTCCTGCCTCCTGGGCCCAGCACCTGCATCTCTGTCGTGCGCCGATCCTGGGGCCCCTGCTCGGCCTGGCCAGTGCCGGTGCAGGCGCACCACCGCCAGCGCCCTCGGAGGGAGGGAGGCCTCCAAGAACCTTTTGGGGGGGGGGGCTTTGGCCCGCCGCGGCTGCGGCAGTGGACAGGGGGGCGCCCTCCGAGAGGCCCCGAGATGCTCAGCCCCCCGCCGCGCTCCGCTGCCGAGCCAGGAGTGCGACGGAGCGGGTGGTGCCTGGCGCCCAGCCCGCGCTTGGGAAGGTGCCACCTCGAGGCTTCCAGAGGGCGACCCCTGACGTCAGGGAGCGCTCCACGCACGAGCAGAGTCTGTGCTTGCACCTGCCGCGTGGAGCTCTGAGTCTGGGCAGGAGGAACGGGAAGGATGAAAGCCGACGAATGGGAGGAGGGTGGAGGGGTGCCTGGGCCATGAGGGCGAAGAGTGGGAAGAGGAGGGAAGAGAAGAGAGCCTGCCCTTTTACCCAGCTTCTGACCCACAGGAATTTCACACCGAATCCATACCCCCCAAGCACAGCACGTCTCGAGGGTGTACTGGGCTATGTGCTGCGCTGCGCTCGCGACCGAAGGCAGAGGATATCTTGACGCATCCGCGATGGCAACCTGGCGTAAGCAAGCTGGAGAGCACATGGTACAACATGCCATGTGCTGGGATGGCAGAAGTAGCATAATAACCAATTGCGTAAACATCATATTGCAACAGACCGCGCGGATTTCTTAGATCGGCGCGGGACTCCCGTCCCTGGCAAGCGGAGCGTTCCAGGGGCGGCGCTGGAGGCGCCGCCAGGGAGGCCCGAACGGCGATCCAAGAAACCCGTGCTGAGCTCTGGCAGCTTATGCTTATGCCATGTGTTCTCTTCTTCGAGCTTGCCTCTCGATGGTGCCCATCGGTCGGAAGAAGTACGTAGAACCACGAAGTAGGAAGGTGTTGGAAGTAGATTGGGTTTCCGACCGACTCCTGTAGAGGAGGCAAGCGGGAAAACCACTCGATCATTGAAGTAGGAGGGCGCTTAACGTGGCTTGAAATCTGGAAGTCCAAAAATACCTACTCTCAGCGACCGATGGGCACGTATGAGGCCCCCTGTTTTCCTCCTCTGCGGCCTCCCTCCTCCTTTCGACTTGTCCTCGTGCCCGGCGCGCGCCGTGGGCCATCTGCGCGCGTTTGCGCCCGCTCTCGCTGCTGACAGCAAGTTTTCTGCTTCGAGCGACGGGGGCCCTACCTCGCATATGGAGCGAGGGGCGGTCAACATGAATGCGCCATGCTCATGCTCCGGACCGTAGTGTGCATGGCGGCGCCGCCACAGAGCCACATCCGTGGCGAGGGATCGGGACATCTGGCAGGCATCCCCTGCCTCTTGCTTGCCCGCGCCAAGTGCGCAATACAAAAATACTCCTCGTCGTCGCGCAGGGGGACCCAACGCGGTGGTCCGATGCCCTGTGCTGCCGGCGTGGACACCCCACAGGTCCAGACCCCTGCGCACGGGCCAGCTCGCCGCCCCGAGCACCCTCTGGAGTGCTGCCCCAAGGGGGGGGGGGGAGGGATCCCGAAGGCCGACAAGGGCTTTTTGTTTTGGATGCTTATTTTCTTGGGGCGGAGGGGGGGTGCTGTTGTTTGTCTTGTTCGTTTTGTTTGTGAGCGTCCGCTCTCGCTGCCGATTCTGCTCCCGCTGGTCGCGACTGTTGGACCAGAAAACAGACGACGTCACCCCACATGCGGCAGCACCCGCAAACCTGGAGTGGCTTTTTGCGTGATCTGCGCTGCGGCCCCCGATGGGCCGCAGCGCAGCAGCGACGGCCGCAGGTGGGGATCTTTGTCGCTTGTTTTTGGGTCGCGGCTGCACCTGCCCCCGGGGCCGCGCCTGCAGCTGCGGGTGCCCCTGTTGCCCCTGCTGCAGCATCCGCATCTGGTCCGCCAGGCTCTGGGCGGCCACCTCTGGGGGAGGAGGAGGAGGAGAAGGAGAAGGAGGCGGAGAAGGAGGCGGAGGAGAAGGAGGAAGAAGGAGAAAGAGGAACGGAGGAAAAGACGAGGAGGAGGAGGAGGAGGAGACGGAGGAGGAAGAGGAGGACGAGGGGAACGAGGAGGACGAGCAGGACGAATCGGAGGAACGAGATGAAGGAGGATGAGGAGAGGCAGGAGGAGGAGGAGGACGACGACGACGAGGCGGACGAGGAGGACGAGCAGGACGAATAGGAGGAACGAGGAGGTGGAGGGGGAAGGGGAGGAGGAGGAGAAGGAGGAGGAGGAGGAAGAGGAGGAGGAGGAGGAGGAAGAAGAGGACGAGGAGGAGGAGGGGCTGGGGAGGAGGAGGAGGAGGAGGAGCAGAGAGGAGGAGGAGGAGAAGGAGGAGGAGGTGGAGGAGGAGGAGAGGAAGGGAGGAGGAGAGGAGGAGGAATGGGAGGGGGGGGAGGAGGTGGAGGAGGAGGAGGACGAATAGGAGGAACGAGGAGGAGGAGGAGGAGGAGGAGGGGAGGAGGAGGAGGAGGAGGAAGTGGAGGAGGAGGGAGAGGAGGGGGAGGAGGAGGAGGAGGAAGGAGGAGGAGGAGGAGGAGGAGGAGGAGGAGGAGGAGGAGGAAGGAGTTGAGGAGGAGGAAGAGGAGAAGAGAAGGAGGAGAAAACGGAGGAGGCAGGAGGAGGAGGAAAGAGGAGGAGGAGGAGGAGGAGGAGGAGGAGAAGTGGAGGAGGACGAAAGAGACAGAGGAACGGAGGAGGATGACGAAGGAGGAGGCGGAGGATGCTGATGGGGACGAGGAGGACGAGCAGGACGAATAGGAGGAGCGAGGAGGAAAAAAGGAGGAGGAGGAGGAGATGGGGAGGAAGGAGAGGAGGAGGAAGAATAGAGGGAAGAAGGAGATGAGGAGGAGAAGGTGGAGGAGAAGGAGGAGGCGGACGACGAGAGGAGGACGAGGGGACGTGGAGGACGAATAGGAGGACGAGGGGTGGAGGAGGAAGGGGTGGAGGAGGAGGAGGAGGAGGAGAGGTGAACAGGAGGAGGAGGTGGCGGAGGAGGAGGATGAGGAGGAGGGGGATAGGAGGAAGGATGAGGAGGAGGAGTAAGAGGAAGAGGACGAGCAGGACGAATGGGAGGAACGAGGAGGAGGAGGAGGAGGTGGAGGAGGAGGAGGTAGAGGAGGTAGGAGGAGGCGCGGAGGAGGAGGAGGAGGAGGAGGAGTAGGAGGAGGACCATCACATGCTGATGAGGAAGGCTAGGGTTAGGCCGACCCGACCCTAACCGAAACCTTGGGATTACATCCGCTCTCTCCTTACGCCCTCCTTCGACCCTACATCGCCGCCCCTTCCTTGAGGAGCTGGGCTGCAGGGAAGGGCTGGGAAAGTCGGGGGCGGGCCTTCATACTGTCCTTCGGATGACGGCCGCCTGACACGCGAGACCACGCACCTTCAGTGAACTTGCGTCTGAAGCGAGGAGAAGGCGGAGGAGGAGGAGGAGGAGGAGGAGGAGGAGGAGGAGGAGGAGGAGGAGGAGGAGGAGGAGGAGGAGGAGGAGGAGGAGGAGGAGGGGGGGCCCTGCCTGTCCCATCGCCGCAATATTCCCGCGTCTTACCCACGTCGGGTCTCACGCCGAATCCTCGCAACATCGGCGTCGGGCCCGAGCCGCATCTGGGTCGAGTCCAAGGAGCGACCGCTTGCCACCGCTCGACCGTCCGCTCCCCGTGCGGTTTTTCGGCTCCTTGCGCGCTTCTTCTCGCAAGATGACCTCAAATGCTCCTCGGTCCGCGCCGAGAAAAAAAGGCACACGCC